ACCACTACACCACAAGCACAGCTTTGCAGAGCTCTCACGAATGAGCCTTTGTTCAATGACGTATATTGAAAGTGTAAAAATGAAGTGCTATTGTGCCTGTCAGGGATCGAACCTGGGGCCTTCCGCGTGTTGAGTGGATGTGATAACACTACACCACAAGCACAGCTGTGCAGAGCTCTCACGAATGAGTCTTTGTTCAATGACGTATATAGAAACTAAATAAAGAAATGCTCTTGTGTCTGCCAGGGATCGAACCTGGGGCCTTCCGCGTGTTAGGCGGATGTGATAACCACTACACCACTGAGCTGGCGGCGAATAAACCATTGAAGTGCTCAAAGAAAGCACGCTCGATAACATCTGCGACATCGTTGACTTCACCCTCGTGTTCAATTTCTGTTATCTGATTACGACGCGCATGCCACTTTTCTGAGCCCAACGCCCTTTTTGACGGTGCTTCTGCCGTTATCAGTCGCTCGGCTCTTGCCCGAACCATAGCACCGCGGTATCTTTCGACATCGAACCGCTCAATTTTACTTTCAACGCACGAATATCTTCAAGAAACATGCCGGGCAATCTACATTCTTCGAGAGCAATTTTTCCAGGTTTCTGCGCATGAGCTTTTCTTCTGCTCCTTTTTCTCTGCTTATAGCGCTCGAGCGTTCCAAAGCCTTCAATTTAACGACCTGCTTGAAGTTCTCCCATTTTTCTCTAAACGTCTTTTTACTACGAACTTTCATTTCTTCAACTTCCGTCATTACTTCCTCCATAAATTTTTCATCACTCAGCAGATTCGAATTCAATTTCCATAGTTGCCACTCGAAGGCCCTTTTCGTTTCTTTCGTGCTAGCTACTACAAAGCTAACCAAGCAGTGGTCACTAAATGAAGCGGCGTTAACACGGTATGCCTTGCAAAGCGGTACCAATTCAACACTCACGTACGCCCTATCTAGTCGGGCGTGGCTGGCTGCCTGAAAGTGGGTGTACTGCATAGTCCGGCTACCACCGAGACATTCAGCCACATCCTCCAAACAATGTTCTCTTACTGTATCGCTTAAGACAGCGGTACTTGCATCCCTGTAATGTCGTTCGCTAGTTTTGTCTTTGGCTGAAAGGACGCAGTTGAAATCGCCAAGAATGATTAGGAGCCTATTACATTTGGTATACTGCTTTAGTTGTTCGAAAAATATGCGTCTTTCGTCAGTGATAGTCGGTGCGTACAAGCATAATACGCGCCATTCCAATCCCGAAAACAAAAGATCACAAACAATGAGCCGACCAGACCGACATGACGTTGAGGCTTCTATTTTAGCACCCAGACTCTGTCTGACGAACAAAACGAAGCCGGAAGAAGTCCCTATGGCATGGCTAACTATAGCAGAATACCGCGGCAAGAATTGGCGCACCATGCCCCCAGTTTCATCGTCACCATGGACTTTAGTCTCTTGGACTACCAGTATGTCAAGGTCGAGGTCACTTACTAGTCGATAAAGCTGACATTGTTTTCTCCGCGAGGCAAGGCCGCGCACATTTAAAGTGGCCACACGAATTGAATTTTCTATTTGCACCATTGTAAGGCTACGAAAAACCCAGGGGCATGGCGCTTACCTTACAACTGCAATTCCTTCCTGAACGCCTTGTCCCAGTACAGTCCTTAAGTTGGCGAAGGCGGCGTTTCCGCCGTCTTGCGCTTCGACGAAATGTTGGGTCGTGGCCGAATGAAAGGCCGCCGAGCGGGAGTCGTTTTGGCGGGTGGTTCGTCCGGCGAGGCAGCAGTGGTGCCCCTGTCTTTTTTCCCTTCGTCACGGGGACGCTTCCCCGTCACAGTGCCACTGTCGCTTTCAATCCCAGTCATCGGTTCAGCCTCGGAGGGGGTCTCGTCTGCTGAGCCAAGACACGTGTCGCCGGTGCTGCTTGCATCCACCTTTTCACTGCTTTCTCCTACGCCTTCGTATGGAAGCCCGTCGTCGGGCTTACCTTGTGCTTCACACACGCCATCTTCTTGACGGCATGATGACCCATCTTGCACAGCAGAGTTTGGATTAACTCCAGCTGTTTCTTCCGAGTCCGCTTCGTCCATGAGGTGCTCCAGTGCATCACTTTCCTGCGCTGGTCCGGTCACACTGGCATGTGTCTTCGCGAAGTCGTCGTCTTCGTGGCCGAAGCGGCGACAACGACTGCAGCACGGTACTCGGCAGTCGCGACGTATGTGACCGGTACTCTTGCACCGTAGGCACAACGGTGCACGGCCCGGAACGACAAAGAGAGTCAACTCTCCGGCAATCTCGAGCTGGTGCAGAATGTCATCCACCTTGACGTTGGAGTGCAGCTTTAGTCCCACAGACCGCGTCGTTGAGCCCTTTTCACTGATGCCTGGTGCTCGCCACTTCTCCCGCTTCACTTCGAATACTTTCCCATAGGGAGCCAAGGCAACACGCACGTCTTCATCGGTCACGCCGTGCAGCAACCAGTGAAGCTTCAAGCGAACCTCGCGGTTATTTGGGTCAATGAGCAAACATGGGCGATCTTTTAGCTTCACATCGACGGCGGAGAGCAACTATCGAGCAGCCTCAGCACTCGTCAGTGTCACAGCCCCTACGTGGTTCATTTGATACGCCCCCAACGCCAAAACGTCGTCGAGCGCACCAAGCTTGGCCAAAGTGTCCCGGTAATCTTCGACGCGGTAAGGCCGGGCTCTCGGATCACCATGCATGAAAACGGTATTCGCAGCGATACGTCCAGAAGGCAGATTGGGCCGAATCACCTAATAATCGTCGGCGCTGAGCGCAAAAACCCTGTTAGCGCGGCCCGTTCGGGCTCCTGAAGCCGCTCCGTCGGAGCCGAACATTCCGCGACCGTATCGCTCGAAAGCCGGATGTGGAATGTCCACTTACACCACAAGCACAGCGCTGCAGAGCTCTCACGAATGAGTCTTTGTTCAATTACGTATATTGAAACTGTAAAAAAAGAAATGCTCTTGTGCCTGCCAGGGATCGAACCTGGGGCCTTCCGTGTGTAAGGCGGATGTGATAACCACTACACCACAAGCACAGCTGTGCAGAGCTCTCACGATTGAGTCTTTGTTCAATGAAGTATATTGAAACTATAAGAAAGAAGTGCTCTTGTGCCTGTCAGGGATTGAACCTGAGGCCTTCCGCGTGTTAGGGGGATGTGACAACCCCTACACCACAAGCACAGCTGTGCAGAGCTCTCACGAATGAGCCTTTGTTCAATGACGTATATTGAAACTGTAAAAAAGAAGTGCTCTTGTGCTTGCCAGGGATCGAATCTGGGGCTTCCGCGTGTTAAGTGGATGTGATAACCACTACACCACAAGCACAGCTGTGCAGACCTCTCACAAATGAGCCTTTGTTCAATGACGTATATTTAAACTGTAAAAAAGAAGTGCTCTTGTGCCTGCCAGGGATCGAACCTGGGGCCTTCCGCGTGTTAGGCGGATGTGATAACCCTACACCACAAGCACAGCTGTGCAGAGCTCTCACGAATGAGTCCTTTGTTCAATGACGTATATTGAAACTGTAAAAAGGAAATGCTCTTGTGCCTGCAGGGATCGAACCTGGGGCCTTCCGCGTGTGAAGCGGATGTGATAACCACTACCCCACAAGCACAGCTGTGCAGAGCTCTCACGAATGAGCCTTTGTTCAATGACGTATATGAAACTGTAAAAAAAGAATGCTCTTGTGCCTGCCAGGGATCGAAACCTGGGGCCTTCCGCGTGTTAGGCGGATGTGATAACCACTACACCACAAGCACAGCTGTGCAGAGCTCTCACGAATGAGTCTTTGTTCAATGACGTATATTGAAACTGTAAAAAAGAAGTGCTCTTGTGCCTGCCAGGGATCGAACCTGGGGCCTTCCGCGTGTAGGCGGATGTGATAACCACTACACCACAAGCACAGCTGTGCAGAGCTCTCACAATTGAGTCTTTGTTCAATGACGTATATTGAAACTGTAAAAAAGAAGTGCTCTTGTGCCTGCCAGGGATCGAACCTGGGCCTTCCGCGTGTTAGGCGGATGTGATAACCACTACACCACAAGCACAGCTGTGCAGAGCTCTCACGAATGAGTCTTTGTTCAATGACGTATATTGAAACTGTAAAAAAAGAAGTGCTCTTGTGCCTGCCAGGGATCGAACCTGGGGCCTTCCGCGTGTTAGGCGGATGTGATAACCACTACACCACAAGCACAGCTGTGCAGAGCTCTCACGAATGAGTCTTTGTTCAATGACGTATATTGAAACTGTAAAAAAAGAAATGCTCTTGTGCCTGCCAGGGATCGAACCTGGGCCTTCCGCGTGTTAGGCGGATGTGATAACCACTACACCACAAGCACAGCTGTGCAGAGCTCTCACGAATGAGTCTTTGTTCAATGACGTATATTGAAACTGTAAAAAAGAAAGTGCTCTTGTGCCTGCCAGGGATCGAACCTGGGGCCTTCCGCGTGTTAAGGCGGATGTGATAACCACTACACCACAAGCACAGCTGTGCAGAGCTCTCATGAATTGAGTCTTTGTTCAATGACGTATATTGAAACTGTAAAAAAGAAATGCTCTTGTGCCTGCCAGGGATCGAACCTGGGGCCTTCCGCGTGTTAAGGCGGATGTGATAACCACTACACCACAAGCACAGCTGTGCAGAGCTCTCACGAATGATCCTTTGTTCAATGACGTATATTGAAACTGTAAAAAAGAAAGTGCTCTTGTGCCTGCACAGGGATCGAACCTGGGCCTTCCGCGTGTAGCGGATGTGATAACCACTACACCACAAGCACAGCTGTGCAGAGCTCTCATGAATGAGTCTTTGTTCAATGACGTATATTGAAACTAAAAAAAGAAATGCTCTTGTGCCTGCCAGGGATCGAACCTGGGGCCTTCCGCGTGTTAGGTGGTTGTGATAACCACTACACCACAAGCACAGCTGTGCAGAGCTCTCACGAATGAGCTTTGTTCAATGAAGTATATTGAAACTGTAAAAAGAAGGCTCTTGTGCCTGCCAGGGATCGAACCTGGGCCTTCCGCGTTTAAGGCGGATGTGACTAACCACTACACCCACAGCACAGCTGTGCAGAGCTCTCACGAATGAGTCCTTTGTTCAATGACGTATATTGAAACTGTAAAAAAGAAGTGCTCTTGTGCCTGCCAGGTATCGACCTGGGGCCTTCCGCGTGTTAGGCGGATTATGATAACCACTACACCACAAGCACAGCTGTGCAGAGCTCTCAGAATGAGCCTTTGTTCAATGACGTATATTGAAACTGTAAAAAGAAGTGCTCTTGTGCCTGCAGAGATCGAACCTGGGCCTTTCCGCGTGTTAAGGCGGATGTGATAACCACTACACCACAAGCACAGCTGTGCAGAGCTCTCACGAATGAGTCTTTGTTCAATGACGTATATTGAAACTGTAAAAAAGAAGTGCTCTTGTGCCTGCCAGGGATCGAACCTGGGGCCTTCCGCGTGTGAGGCGGATGTGATAACCACTACACCACAAGCACAGCTGTGCAGAGCTCTCACGAATGAGTCTTTGTTCAATGACGTATATTGAAACTGTAAAAAAAGAAGTGCTCTTGTGCCTGCCAGGGATCGAACCTGGGGCCTTCCGCGTGTTAGGCGGATGTGATAACCACTACACCACAAGCACAGCTGTGCAGAGCTCTCACGAATGAGCCTTTGTTCAATGACGTATATTGAAACTGTAAAAAAGAAGTGCTCTTGTGCTGCCAGGGATCGAACCCGGGCCTTCCGCGTGTTAGGCGGATGTGATAACCAGTACACCACACGCACAGCTGTGCAGAGCTCTCATCGAATGAGTCCTTTGTTCAATGACGTATATTGAAACTGTAAAAAAAGAATGCTCTTGTGCCTGCCAGGGATCGAACCTGGGGCCTTCCGCGTGTAAGGCGGATGTGATAACCACTACACCACAAGCACAGCTGTGCAGAGCTCTCACGAATGAGTCCTTTGTTCAATGACGTATATTGAAACTGTAAAAAAGAAGTGCTCTTGTGCCTGCCAGGGATCGAAACCTGGGCCTTCCGCGTGTTAGGCGGATGTGATAACCACTACACCACAAGCACAGCTGTGCAGAGCTCTCATGAATGAGTCTTTGTTCAATGACGTATATTGAAACTGTAAAAAAGAAGTGCTCTTGTGCCTGCCAGGGATCGAACCTGGGGCCTTCCGCGTGTTAGGCGGATGTGATAACCACTACACCACAAGCACAGCTGTGCAGAGCTCTCACGAATGAGTCTTTGTTCAATGACGTATATTGAAACTGTAAAAAAATGAATGCTCTTGTGCCTGCCAGGGATCGAACCTGGGGCCTTCCGCGTGTTAGGCGGATGTGATAACACTACACCACAAGCACAGCTGTGCAGAGCTCTCACGAATGAGTCTTTGTTCAATGACGTATATTGAAACTGTAAAAAAAGAAGTGCTCTTGTGCCTGCCAGGGATCGAACCTGGGGCCTTCCGCGTGTTAGGCGGATGTGATAACCACTACACCACAAGCACAGCTGTGCAGAGCTCTCACGAATGAGTCTTTGTTCAATGACGTATATTGAAACTGTAAAAAAAGAATGCCCTTGTGCATGCCAGGGATCGAACCTGGGGCCTTCCGCGTTAAGGCGGATGTGATAACCACTACACCACAAGCACAGCTGTGCAGAGCTCTCACGAATGAGTCTTTGTTCAATGACGTATATTGAAACTGTAAAAAAGAAATGCTCTTGTGCCTGCCAGGGATCGAACCTGGGGCCTTCCGCGTGTTAGGCGGATGTGATAACCACTACACCACAAGCACAGCTGTGCAGAGCTCTCACGAATGAGTCTTTGTTCAATGACGTATATTGAAACTGTAAAAAAATAATGCTCTTGTGCTGCCAGGGATCGAACCTGGGGCCTTCCGGGTGTTAAGGCGGATGTGATAACCACTACACCACAAGCACAGCTGTGCAGAGCTCTCACGAATGAGTCTTTGTTCAATGACGTATATTGAAACTGTAAAAAAGAATGCCTTGTGCCTGCCAGGGATCGAACCTGGGCCTTCCGCGTGTTAAGGCGGATGTGATAACCACTACACCACAAGCACAGCTGTGCAGAGCTCTCACGAATGAGTCTTTGTTCAATGACGTATATTGAAACTGTAAAAAAAGAAATGCTCTTGTGCCTGCCAGGGATCGAACCTGGGCCTTCCGCGTGTGAGGCGGATGTGATAACCACTACACCACAAGCACAGCTGTGCAGAGCTCTCACGAATGAGTCTTTGTTCAATGACGTATATTGAAACTGTAAAAAAAGAAAGTGCTCTTGTGCCTGCCAGGGATCGAACCTGGGGCCTTCCGCGTGTTAGGCGGATGTGATAACCACTACACCACAAGCACAGCTGTGCAGAGCTCTCACGAATGATCTTTGTTCAATGACGTATATTGAAACTGTAAAAAAAGAAGTGCTCTTGTGCCTGCCAGGGATCGAACCTGGGCCTTCCGCGTGTTAAGGCGGATGTGATAACCCTACACCACAAGCACAGCTGTGCAGAGCTCTCATGAATGAGTCCTTTGTTCAATGACGTATATTGAAACTAAAAAAGAAATGCTATTGTCCTGCCAGGGATCGAACCTGGGCCTTCCGCGTGTTAAGGCGGATGTGATAACCACTACACCACAAGCACAGCTGTGCAGAGCTCTCACGAATGAGCCTTTGTTCAATGACGTATATTGAAACTGTAAAAAAGAAGTGCTCTTGTGCCTGCCAGGGATCGAACCTGGGGCCTTCCGCGTGTTAGGCGGATGTGATAACCACTACACCACAAGCACAGCTGTGCAGAGCTCTCACGAATGAGCCTTTGTTCAATGACGTATATTGAAACTGTAAAAAAAGAAGTGCTCTTGTGCCTGCCACGGATCGAACCTGGGGCCTCCCGCGTGTGAGGCGGATGTGACAACCACTACACCACAACCACAGCTGTGCAGAGCTCTCACGATTGAGCCTTTGTTCAATGACGTATATTGAAACTGTAAAAAAAGAAGTGCTCTTGTGCTAGCCAGGGATCGAACCTGGGGCCTTCCGCGTGTTAAGTGGAAGTGATAACCACTACACCACAAGCACAACTGTGCAGAGCTCTCACAAATGAGCCTTTGTTCGATGACGTATAATTGAACTGTAAAAAAAGTGCTCTTGTGCCTGTCAGAGATCGAACCTGGGGCCTTCCGCGTGAAAGGCGGATGTGATAACCACTACACCACAAGCACAGCTGTGCAGAGCTCTCACGAATGAGTCTTTGTTCAAAGACGTATATTGAACATCTATAAAAAAGAAATGCTCTCGTTCCTGCCGGGATCGAACTTGGTGCCTTCCCCGCGTAAGGCGGATGTGATAACCACTACACCACAAGCACAGCTGTGCAGAGCTCTCACGAATGAGTCTTTGTTCAATGACGTATATTGAAACTGTAAAAAAGAAATGCTCTTGTGCCTGCCAGGGATCGAACCTGGGGCCTTCCGCGTGTTAGGCGGATGTGATAACCACTACACCACAAGCACAGCTGTGCAGAGCTCTCACGAATGAGTCTTTGTTCAATGACGTATATTGAAACTGCAAAAAAAAAAGTGCTCTCGTGCCTGCCAGAGATCGAACCTGGTGCCTTGCGCGCGTAAGGCGGATGTGATAACCACTACACCACAAGCACAGCTGTGCAGAGCTCTCATCGAATGAGTCTTTGTTCAATGACGTATATGAAACTGTAAAAAAAAAGTGCTCTTGTGCCTGCCAGGGATCGAACCTGGGGCCTTCCGCGTGTTAAGGCGGATGTGATAACCACTACACCACAGCACAGCTGTGCAGAGCTCTCACGAATGAGCTTTGTTCAATGAACGTATATTGAAACTGTAAAAAGAAGTGCTCTTGTGCCTGCCAGGGATCGAACCTGGGGCCATTCCGGTGTTAGGCGGATGTGATAACCACTACACCACAAGCACAGCTGTTGCAGCGCTCTGACTGAATGAGTCTTTGTTCAATGACGTATATTGAAACTGTAAAAAAAAGAAATGCTATTGTAGCCTGCCAGGGATTGAACCCTGGGCCTCTCCGGCGTGTGAAGCGGATGTGATAAACACTACACCACCAGCACAGCTGTGCAGAGCTCTCTACGAATGAGTCTTGTTCAATGACGTATATTGAACGTAAAAAAAGAAATGCTCTTGTGTCCTGGCCAGGGATCGAACCTGGGGCCCTTCCGCTGTGTTAGGCGGATGTGATAAACACTACAGCACAAGCCAGCTGTGCAGAGCTCGACATGAATGAGTCTTTGTTCAATGACGTATATTGAAACTATAAAAAAGAAATGCTCTTGTGCCTGCCAGGGATCGAACCTGGGGCCTTCCGCTG